TTTCTAGTTTCAGCCTTCATGGTATGGTAACTAGAGGGCTGTCAATCAACTTTGTCTGCATATATTTTCAGACAGAGTGGAGCAGAGCAAATGTACATGGGAAACGAATTTTGAACAGTTCAGCTGAAGAGAGGTTTTCTCTCACAGGAACAAGGCATTCAGTGGGAGTTAAGGTCAGAACAGACACACTTCTGTCAAAATGCTCCCAGCTTTACACTGTGGAGCTCTAGAGTCATCTTTGGAATCCCCTGTCTGCCCTTGTCTGAACAGAGATCCCAGCAGTTTTGACCTTCAGGGCATTAAACAAACATTTCTTTCAAGTTGGTTTAGTTTAAGACATAGAAACCACGTACAGCATGATGTATCTTTAATTCACTTACTTGGCAACTGATCTTTATTACTTGAATATTTAAAGGAATGTTATATTTGATTCTGTTGATACTGTGTGTCATTATAGAACAGGATAATCTTTTAAACACAGAAGGAATAATCATCAGCATTTTTCTGACTCAAAAGCAATTCTTTCACTACAGGTATATGACTTATCCTAAAACCCAAGCACAGACTGGGTCAAATTAATATACTAGCATGGTTCTATTTATTTTTATGTTAATTTGGGGTTGTATCAAAGTCTGATTTTGGTTTATTTCCAAAAAAGACAAGATCAGTTTCTACCTTTATAATATGAGAATGGGGAAATATATTTAGATTTCAAATTTAAAATAAAAATTTAAAAGATTGTATATATATATTCTGAATCTAAGTAAAAATATTATGTATTATCTTTGAGAGTAAAACTTTAATTGGATGGCTCTTTGAAATGGAAAAGGAATCTATTATAATCTTACAGTCCTAAAATGAAAACATTAATACATTTTTTCTAATAATAGACCAAAGTTCCAAGTTTTTAGAACTCAATCATAATTTATCTGTCAAAATTAAACATCTGTTAAAAATCCTTTTAGTATTTTCTATTACATTTGTGAAGTCCAGAGCTTTCATTAAATGCATAAAAGCTTTCATCATAAAGTATATATTCTAACTTTACTTTTAAAGCTGAAAAAGCCTTACTTGTTTTTATTCCACATTTTTCTATCATACTGGAGCATGTAACAACTCCTTTGGGGTCATAATAGATGTGTGAGATTTCTAATATCCAGAAAAAAATTTAAGTATAAAAATGTATTCATTGATTAGCTCTAGTAATTTTCTGGTAGAGTCTTTAGGGTTTTCTATGTAGAGGATCATGTCATCTGCAAACAGAGAGAGTTTCACTTCTTCTTTTCCTATCTGGATTCCTTTTACTTCTTTTTCTGCCCTGATTGCTGTGGCCAACACTTCCAAAACTANAAAAAAAAAAAAAAAAAAAAAAAAAAAAAAAAAAAAAAAAAAAAAAAAAAAAAAAAAAAAAAAAAAAAAAAAAAAAAAAAAAAAAAAAAAAAAAAAAAAAAAAAAAAAAAAAAAAAAAAAAAAAAAAAAAAAAAAAAAAAAAAAAAAAAAAAAAAAAAAAAAAAAAAAAAAAAAAAAAAAAAAAAAAAAAAAAAAAAAAAAAAAAAAAAAAAAAAAAAAAAAAAAAAAAAAAAAAAAAAAAAAAAAAAAAAAAAAAAAAAAAAAAAAAAAAAAAAAAAAAAAAAAAAAAAAAAAAAAAAAAAAAAAAAAAAAAAAAAAAAAAAAAAAAAAAAAAAAAAAAAAAAAAAAAAAAAAAAAAAAAAAAAAAAAAAAAAAAAAAAAAAAAAAAAAAAAAAAAAAAAAAAAAAAAAAAAAAAAAAAAAAAAAAAAAAAAAAAAAAAAAAAAAAAAAAAAAAAAAAAAAAAAAAAAAAAAAAAAAAAAAAAAAAAAAAAAAAAAAAAAAAAAAAAAAAAAAAAAAAAAAAAAAAAAAAAAAAAAAAAAAAAAAAAAAAAAAAAAAAAAAAAAAAAAAAAAAAAAAAAAAAAAAAAAAAAAAAAAAAAAAAAAAAAAAAAAAAAAAAAAAAAAAAAAAAAAAAAAAAAAAAAAAAAAAAAAAAAAAAAAAAAAAAAAAAAAAAAAAAAAAAAAAAAAAAAAAAAAAAAAAAAAAAAAAAAAAAAAAAAAAAAAAAAAAAAAAAAAAAAAAAAAAAAAAAAAAAAAAAAAAAAAAAAAAAAAAAAAAAAAAAAAAAAAAAAAAAAAAAAAAAAAAAAAAAAAAAAAAAAAAAAAAAAAAAAAAAAAAAAAAAAAAAATGTATATGCTGATCTCTGCTTTCTTTTCACTGTGTTTACTAGTCCTTGGTTTTAATTTTACAGTAATTTATGTACATAACTCTTCGAAGGACACATTCATGTTTGAAATATATTTGTATGTACCTGGTTTCTGAGGTATACCTCATTTACAAAAATGTACTTAATAAAATCTTCCCTGGAACACTGAGAGGGAAGAGGCATAGAATAATGACTACAGCTCCATGTTTCTTTTTTCTGTCCATATTTTCCCTTGTGCTTCCTACACTATACACTGATGTTAATACTGATTAATATTTTTATCCATTATGAGCTATGCTTGCATGCGTGTTAAGTTGCTTCAGTCGTGTCCTACTCTTTGGGACTCTATGGACTGTGGCCCACCAGGACTGTGGCCCTCCTCTGTTCATGGGATTCTTCGGGCAAGAAAACTAGAGAGGGTTGCCATGCCTTCCTCCAGGGTCTCTTACCAACCCAGAGGTAGCAAACAGGATCTTTACCACTAGTGCCACCTGGGAAGTCCATAGAATCAATTAAATCTTTCCATAATAAAATATGATTCTGATTTCCATGAGTAAATCTGTGAAACCACTGCAAAGACATATTTTAGATTTGCCTACCTTTTACTTCTAGTTTTTTAAAAAAGACAGAAAATTGTAAAACTTGATAAAGGATAATGCAACCCTCTGCTTGAGTCAATTAAATGGTTTTCACTAAATAGACATGTTTCTCCTAAATAAAGCTCTTAATGTCATCATGGTTTTAGTCTGTTTATCTTAGGCTAAATTTAAGATCATTTTCCTTAAATCCTAGTGTATTCCTGTGTTGAGAAGTGTGTCATGGACTTAATTTGCATACGTCAGATAAAGAGTTGAGTGTGATTAATTTTTAAAAGTTATGTATTTAAACATCATAAGTAACTATTAAATGTAACTAAGACCATTTAATAGTAACAAAAAATATTGCTTAATAGTCCTACTATTCATTCGAGTCTAGAAAATGACCCAATTCAATTTCTATCAGTTATCCAAAATATTATTCATTTCCCTTTCATGTCAAAATGAAATCAAGTATAATTCAGAAACGTTTCTTCAGGAAAAAAAAAGTCATTGGACAAATGACCACTTAAATTCTTGATTTCTGGGAACATTAAGGTCATGTCTGCACTAGAAATGTGAAGACATAAATGAGACAAATTTCCAGGATGAAGTAAAGCTGAAAGCTCTTTTGCCAGGGCAGGCCAGCTGCCTATCTAAATTATAAAACCATAATGTGCATGACTTTATCTACCAATAAAATGGGAATTATACTACAAGCCAATTCTGTCAGAGGATGTTATAGAGATAATGAGATAATGTCTTTTAAGTGCTTTCCATGTCTCGGATGAAAGAAGATAACTTTTCCATCCTCAATAAAGAGGAGACCCATGATCACTAACACTTCAGATTGCTAAATGTAACTTCTTTAGAAAAGTGATGCTATTAAAATAATGATACATAAAGCTCCTCTACTAACCTACTGTAAAGCTATATTCATCAATAATGAAGGCATGGATCTGTGGCTGAAATCGGTGAGCTTCTCTAAAAATATGAACTATTTTCTCTAAGTTTAACAGTCACATTCAAGGGCATTTACTTCAAAGCTGGCTGTAGACATGAAGCATTCCAAAACATAACAAATTTTCTATCAGTAAGAAGTTCTTCTAGATAGTATACAAATGTGAATAATGAAAGTCATACTCTTCAATGTTAATTAAAACAAGACCTGGTATATAACCTAGATGCTGTTTTAAACTGTCATTTCCTTCCACTGTCCAATAGAAGTCAATACCTATAACATATTTAACTCATCTGTCCTCTGAGTGACCACATTACAGTGACACAATTTTAATTGATTCAACCAAAGTGAAACTTATTACGGTATTAAACTGGACTATGACCCTCTATCTATCTGCCATGCTTTTCTTTAAATCTGATAAATAATTTATTAGCCATATTGTCAATGAGAGATATTAGAGGGAAGTTTCCTTTTCTTTCTCCCTTCCTCTGGCCTCAGTTATCTGTAAAGGCAGCAAAGGTTTTGGAAATTTACATAAATATGGAGAAGTTAAATACTTAAGAAACTATAAATGCCCAAGAAATTATAAATGCCCTTAGCAATTATGAAAAATTTAAAATGCTGGAGGAATAAACTTTAAAATAGTAATAATAAACATAGCAGAAATTGTGAATGACAAAACAGACAATTTCTTGGTTGATTACAAATGATTCTTGAAAGTTTCATGCAAATGAAATTACTATTTTCAGTAATAAATTTTGTCTCAGTCACAAAATACTGATGTCCATATAAATGTTTAACATTTTCAATTTGGCATTTCTCTAATGATAAAATATGTAATTATTTTCTTTTTGCAGTGATTGCCTTAGGTGGGTCATTGTGCCCCAATTTCAGCTATCTAGCCAATAAGAAGTTAGAAGCTTTTTGGTAATGGAAAGATTAACTAGGTCATAAACAAGACTTAAGGAAAACATGATCCTCGTTCTGCCTCCAGACATTGGTGTGTAGAAATATGATGCCTGGAATTTTTGCAGACATCTTTCAGCTGAAGGGAAGATAACAAATACACTGAGAATGAGTAAGCAGAAAAAAACGGAAAGTGCTTGCAACCCTAATGATGATACTGAATTGACCAAAGTGAAAATGACTTTATCTCTACATTCTATAATAAATTATCTTAATGTTTATGTCATTTGAGTCTATATTTTCTAGTATTTTCAGCCTGAACCTGCTCAATATATCAAGTACCTTGGTGAGAATCATGTCTGTGATGACTTTGGGTATCGATCCAATGGATTCTGACTTTGTTGATGGGGTTAGCAGCCATGGCCTTGGGATGTTCAGGACTATGTAGCTTGGTTAGAGTTCATCTTTCTGGGAATGCCACAGCTTTAAGTGCCATGGTAAGTGCTATGAGCAAGAGAAAGAGCAACATGTGACATATAAGTGAAGTGAAAGTCACTCAGTCGAGTCCAACTCATTGTGACCCCATGAACTATACAGTGCATAGAATTCTCTAGGCCAGAATACTGGAGTGGGTAGCCTTTCCCTTCTCCAGGGGATCTTCCCAACCCAGGGATCGAACCCCGGTGTCCCGCATTGCAGGTGGATTCTTTACCAGCTGAGCCACAAGTGGAGCCCAAGAATACTGGAGTGGGTAGCCTATCCCTTCTCCAGTGGATCTTTCTGACTCAGGAATCGAACCAGAGTCTCCTGCATGTGACATGTAAAGGATCAAGGAATTCCATCTGGTGGTCCATTCATCCTTATTCTTTCCCCTTGTATTGAGTTTAACATAAAACAATTGTCTGCCCATTTTGAGAGAGAGGATTTTCTATTTTGAAGCACAACAATATTTTGTTCAGGCAGGCTTAACTCTGGTGACAATAGCAGGTAGGAAGCAAAATATATGTGAAGAATTATATTAACTTAAAAGTTTTGGAATCTAAGATCCTTGAGAGCTTAAAATTGCTTAAAAAAAAAGTCTAATGTTTTGAGGAAACATATCCTTTTATTATTTTTAAATTAATTATTTGTTTTTTTTGGGCCACACCAACTGACATGAAGGATCTTAATTCTCCTACAAGGATTCAGACTGGTACCCCTGCATTGGAAGTGTGGAATCTTAATCACTGGACCACCAGGAAAGTCCAAAAACATATGCTTTTATTATAATTTCTGGCTAATGAGTGCTCAGCAAGCTTTTTTAAACTAAAACTTGCCTGAAGTCAAGGTAGTTAATGACAGAATTGGGATTCAAACCCAATCGCATACTAGCTCTCATTCATCAAAAGGTTAAGTCCGTGTTTTTAATCTGTAAGCTACACAATGTGTAACATCGAGTACTATATATTAAGAAACAGAGAGAAGTACAAGATAAGTGGTGTCCCAAAGGAGCAGCAGCCAATTTAGCATAGGGACTGTTTTATATGGCGGCTTCCCAGTTTGGCTCAGTGGTAAAGAATCCGCCTATTGATGCAAGAGTCGCAGGTTTGATCCCAGGGTCAGGAAGGAAATGTTGCGTTTGGAAAAGGAAATGGCAATACATTCCAGTATTCTTGCTTCGGAAATCTCATGACACACTGATGGGCTACAAAAGGGTTCGGACATGACATAGCAACTAAACAACACCTGTTTTATATGAGGTTAGTGGCAAAGCCTTGAGAAACCCATGAGCACTATGAAAAGGCAAAATGACAGGATACTGAAAGAGGAACTCCCCAGGTCAGTAGGTGCCCAACATGCTACTGGAGATCAGTGGAGAGATAACTCCAGAAAGAATGAAGAGACGGAGCCAAAGAAAAAACAACACTCAGTTATGGATGTGACTGGTGATAAAAGTAAAGTACGATTTTGTAAAGAGCAATATTGCATAGGAGCCTGGAATGTTAGGTCCCTGAATCAAGGCAAATTGGAAGTGGTCAAATAGGAGATGGCAAGAGTGAATGTCGACATTCTAGGAATCAGCGAACTAAAAGGACTGGAATGGGTGAATTTAATTCAGATGACCATTATTATCTACTACTGTGGGCAGGAATCCCTTAGAAGAAATAGAGTAGCCACCATAGTCAACAAAAGAGTCCAAAATGCAGTACTTGGATGGAACCTCAAAAACAACAGAATGATATCTGATCGTTTCCAAGGCAAACCATTCAATATCACAGTAATCCAAGCCTATGCCCCAACCAGAAATGCTGAAGAAGCTGAAGTTGAATGATTCTATGAAGACCTACAAGACCTTTTAGAACTAACACCCAAAAAAGATGTCCTTTTCCTTATAGGGGACTGGAATGCAAAAGTAGGAAGTCAAGAAACACCTGGAATAACAGGCAAATTTGGTCTTGGACTACTAAATAAAGCAGGGCAAAGGCTAAGAGTTTTGCGAAAAGAACGCACTGGTCATAGCAAACACCCTCCTCCAACAACACAAGAGAAAACTACACATGAACATCACCAGATGGTCAAAACTGAAATCAGATTGATTATATTCTTTGCGGCCAAAGATGGAGAAGCTCTATACACTCAGCAAAAACAAGACCGGGAGCTGACAGTGGCTCAGATCATGAACTCCTTATTGCAAAACTCAGACTTAAACTGAAGAAAGTGGGGGAAACCACTAGACCATTCAGGTATGACCTAAATCAAATCCCTTATGACTATACAGTGGAAGTAAGAAATCAATTTAAGGGACTAGATCTGATAGAGTGCCTGATGAACTATGGATGGAGGCTCATGACATTGTACAGGAGACAGGGATCAAGACCATCCCCGTGGAAAAGAAACGCAAAAAGGCAAAATGGTTGTCTGAGGAGGCCTTACAAATAGCTGTGAAAAGAGGAGAAGTGAAAAGCAAAGGAGAAAAGGAAAGATATTCCCATTTGAATGCAGAGTTCCAAAGAATAGCAAGGAGAGATAAGAAAGCCTTCCTCA